AGACACATAATGGTCCATACTTCTCCAAGGTCCATTTATATAATATTTACAGTACTTTTTTCAAAATTAGTTTTCGGAAATTCGAGATAATTTTGCATTAACGCAAGCTACATTCCAAATGCGCGCGAGCAAGAGGAATGAATGTTAATGCAATCACAAATTATAAAAGCTAAAAAACGCATTTAAAGCGTTTACTCAAATTTTCGAAAACTACTGCTAACATTTCTGAAAATTTACGATTAATGACGACAATAGAATATGTGTGTTTGTGATATCGCAATATTTTTAATAATTTTGTAAAGACACGATACAAAAGTTCTCACAAGGCAGATAACAATATGAATTTAATATTCGGCATTGCATAAACATACGAAAACTTATGAATACGCGATAAAGGATATTTGCAAAGAATTTTATTGATAAATGTAAAAAAAAAATGTAAGAACTGATCATCTATCATTAATAAGAATGTAAAAGTATAAAAAAAAGAAAGAGAAATTATTATTATTATAGCCTACGAAAGGCAGGAGTTTAGAGAGGTAATCGATTTACAAAACTTCGATTTTGAATCAGGAAATCTGGTCTTTATTTCCAAAAATATGTCGCCCACACCTGGACCGTCCAAAACTGCCTGCAAATACAAATAAAAGAAAACTGTGAGAACTTTTTCGCGGTACAGGCCGCAAAACTTATTCCCAACGCGAAGCACTTGAGAGTTTGAGAATTTCACTCGTACACAGTTTGTCCATTCAGGGTTTTCATTGTGAAATTGGATAAAATTTGACGAGACAATAAAGATTGCAATAACAAAAACCACATTTTCTTAAAAGGTCAAACACTTTATTTAATAATAAAGGTATGTGTGCGCCTGGGATTTAGGATATACAAAAATTCATATCGTCTAAGCTTGAATATACGTCTCCTTCGGCAACGCTTGTGATTAAAGTACCCCCTCCAATACCCAACTAAACCTCTGCCTAGACAAACAAGTTGTAATCGCGGTGATAGAAGCAAGAAATGTGAACTATTAAACACAACAGATTTAATTATATAATTAGAAGTATCCTGAGAAAGAATAAGCGAGATGAGAAGCCTTAGAGGGCAAGAGTCAAAGATTTCAGTAATGGCCATTAGATTTTCGACAGAATAAGAACATAGATGCATTCTGAACGATATAAAACCTGTTGCGATAATAGGAATAAAAATTAATCGAACTGCACCGAGCTGCGCTTTTCGTATCTTTCTAATCCTATTTACCATTCTGTGGTGTGATATTTTTATCGTGATATATAATATAGTATCACTATATTATTATTAAAAATTAAGATAAAAAATAATCTTGATAGCAATCAGTACCAGTAATACCAATAATAATAATAATATAATATTTATAATATTAATAGCGGTAACGATAAGGAGTAATAGTAGTAATAGTAGCAGCAGCGGCAGCGGCGATATCGGTAGCAGCAACAGTAGTGGTAATTACACTAATAGTAATAATAGTCGTACTACTATCTTCTGTAGCGCAACAGATAACTATTTCCGTAACCTACTATTATAAATCGAAACGAATATGAAAACGTTGGAATATTTTGGTTTAGATCGCGTTTACATAAGCGATATAGTTCACCAACTCACTCAATATATATACTCACACACCATGAGAGATCGATCAGCTGAGAGCTTCGGTCACTTACTTTTTATTATTTTTTTTATTATAATGGATTATAGCCAACAGTCGGACTTAGATCAGATCAGCGACATTCATTGGCATTTCATCGATGTGTGTATTGTAGAATTGTTCGATATCTTTCAAAGTTCGTTTATCTTCTTCTGTCACGAAGTTAATGGCCACACCTTTACGACCAAAGCGACCGCCACGTCCAATTCTAAATAAATAATAAAGGTATAAGTATCTATGTAAATCGTTAAATTTAATGTTTTAAAATTCATGTTCAAAATTGATGAAATTATTGTAAATTAGAAAGAATTATAGATATATGAGATACATTTCATATTTCTTTCATATATATTTTTATATGTTCTATAAATTCTTGTCTATTAGAAATCTTGGCTATTAGAATTATCTTGGCTATTAGAAATTTGTATGTTTCAAATAAATTATAAATCATATATTTATTTATAAGATTATAACTATAAAAATTAAACTATAAAATAACTTAACCGATGAATATAATTTTCTCGGTTGGAAGGTAAATCATAATTAATAACAAGTGAGACTTGTTGTACATCAATACCACGTGCCGAAAGATCAGTGGTAATCAAAACTCTAGACGATCCAGTTCGGAATTGACGCATAATAAGATCGCGTTCTTTTTGTTCCATATCTCCATGCATAGCAGAAACAGTAAAATCACGTTTATGCATACTCTCTGTTAGCCAATCTACTTTACGCCGTGTATTGCAGAAAATAACAGCTTGAGTGATGCTCAGCGTGTCGTACAAATCGCAAAGGGTTTCCAATTTCCAATCTTCACGTTCAACATAAACGAAAAATTGTTTGATACCCTCTAATGTCAACTCTTCTTTCTTAACCAAGATACGAATAGGATTCCGCATAAAACATTTAGATACATCCAATACATCAGACGGCATTGTTGCAGATAATAATATAACCTGAAAAAGATAATTACATTGCATTAGAAATGTAAAGATGAAAGTTATACGCAAGAAATCATTGTATCGATACAATGTGATGTCCGATACGTTGAAAAAAATAAACTGCATTTACTGAAATGTTATATTATAAATGTGTGTGCAATATAATAGCATCATGCTGTAACAGTAGGTATTGTAAATTGTTGTTGCTATTACAGAGATATTAAAAGTGACTAATTGATTTTTAGGATATTATAATTATTATTAGGAGTGCTATGCCATAATCATTTGCATTTGAGGCCGCTATTATTTTCAGACAAAAGATAACACATTTCATGATACAGAGCATATGTCAATCTAGTGTACATTTATCAAAAAATGACACTATTACGACGCACCTGTATTTTATAATATATTTAACTTGACTATTATAAGGTATACTGCAACTTTTTCGTCTTGTATGATTTGTGGACTTGTCCAAAAAAGATATTTTCTAATAATTAAAATAAAAGTATCTATTAGATGGTAATTGTAATAAAAATCTACACTGCTCAAAAGCATAATTTTATATTTACCTGCACTTCGTTAGGTAATAATTTGAATACATCGTGGATTTGATCCTTAAATCCTCGAGAAAGCATTTCGTCAGCTTCATCCAGTACAAACAGCTTGATGCTATTCGCTCGAAGTGCTCGTCGACTGATCATATCGTAGACTCTACCGGGCGTACCGACAACCACGTGAACACCCTGATCCAGTTTTCGCATATCCTCACGGACGTTGGTGCCACCAATGCACGCATGACATTCGGCATGCATAAAATCTCCTAGAGCGATAACGACTTTCTGAATCTGAAAGATAATATCATAGTTAACTTTTTCTTGATATCAAGGTGACGCTGCAATCTTGTAACTTCATGTAAAGAAAATCAATTTGTAATCCGGACATAAATTAAATGCAAGTCTCATTCTAGATATGTGTTTCTATTTTATAAAACATTAATTTAAAAAAATCAAGTTTTAAATAAAGAAATATAAAAAGAAATGCGTAAAACATTTTTAACAAGTTACTTACTTGTTGAGCTAATTCACGGGTTGGTGCGAGGATCAAGGCCTGACATTCTTTAATACTAGTGTCAATTTGTTGAAGGATCGATATTGAAAACGTTGCAGTTTTGCCAGTACCTGTAGATGGTTGAAAATATTTATTAGTACATAATAAACTTTACACAAATTGTTAACACGCATAACAAGATTTCTTACCAGACTGGGCCTGAGCAATAACATCGAGCCCCCTTATACATGGTAGGATGGCACGTTGTTGAATTGCAGATGGTTTTTCAAACCCGTAAGCATATATACCACGTAATAATTCTTCTTTCAAATTCATTTCATCAAAGTTCTCCACAACCTGTTTAAATGATACACAGTATATATTAAAATATACAGTAAATATCATCTTTTAAAAATTCTGTAAAACAAAAATGTCTGGATAATCAAATAACTTTTAACAGCATAATTAATTTCAGATAAAAAAAGCATAATACAATCATTTTAATTTTCTGAAAGAGAAATAATGATTGATTATCTCAGTTAAGTTCATCTATAATGGATTTAATATAAAATTTGTTTAATAAATTTCTTTCGTTTAACCTAAATTATTTCACAAGTCATTTATCCTGTAAAAAAAAATTAGAATATTCTTTTATTGAACAATATAAAAATTTAAATTCATTCTATTAATGCTTTAATTATTTTGTTACAGAGTATTACGTAGAATTATATCACACAGAGTATTTCTTTATATTTATATTTTATATTAATATTTTAAAATAATTGAAAAATCAGATATTTAAATATAAAAAAATCTATCTCAGAAATTATCTAAAATGTAATGATTTCATTATGTATGGAACTATTATGTCATTTAAGGCATTTCTTCTTACATGAATAAATTAATAATATCTATGTCTTATCTATATCTAATCTTCATAAGTACATTAAAAAAGAATCCATTAATTATATTAATGGATTCATAATAGACAAATATAATATGTATAAATATCTTAAACATATTTTATTATGTTGAAACATATGTTATTTCAAATATCTATATACTCGAAAATAGAAATTTTATGGAAACAGAAATCATACATTATATGCTAATAACATTAATGTAAAATATCAAAATTCAAAGAAACAACATGCTTTTAATCGAAATAATCGAATAATTGTTAATCGAAGAAAGGTATACAATACAATCTTATCATGGTTTTGGAATGCAATAATAATAAATTACTCACAACGTCCCAATTGGACTCGATGATACCATCGGGGTCCATGCCGGGAGGTCCATCATATGTAGGCTGTTCACTTTCGCTAGGACCATTTTTTGAATCCCCCGACCATTGATCATCATTTCTGAAACACAGAGATAAGATACTGTAGCATAAGAAGACAAAGATAAGATCGATAATACTAAATGTAAAAATTGAAATAAAATAAAATTTTTTTAAAATAAATTTTTTCAATTGGATCTTTTGTATTATAATTAAATATAAAAATTGTAATAATTGTAATTGTAATTGTAATAAATATTTCATAGACAAATCGTAAAAATCTTGTCAAATAAATTGAATAAAAAATATTTCATGTTCATAATGTACAATTTTAATTTTATCTTAGCATACATTCTTTCAATATCTAAGGAGACTAAAATATGTAAAATATGTAAAAAATTCGTATAAAATCCTGTATCACATTTTCTTACATCCATAATAAATGAAGACTCACAAACGGGACATTTATCGTGATTCTAATAAAAATATCGATGCACACATGTTAATGTTAGGCATCCACGCCAAGATCGATAAGATCGATCACGGCGATCGACCGATGACAAATCACTTTAAAATCCACGTGACCTTGAAAATCAAACTTTTAATTCGATGCCGATTAAAAAGCACATGTCGAGAGTGCGCGATTCGATGGCCATTTTTATACGTTCCGCACGATGCGGGCAGATCGACGAGGATCGAACACCGCGCGGAAATGGTACGAGGGTCGTCGCCGACCGCAATAAATCTCGAATGACTCACGCGGAAGCGCATGGCCGGGAAAACGTGAGGCGCGTTGTCTCGACGACGATGCGCGAGGCTCAAATCGCGAGTTACCCCGATTGATTTTTTTATTTCATTTTTCTTTTCATTCCCCCCCCCCGAGCATGGGAAATATCCCCGCGCGAAAACTCGATATTTCCGATATTACGTAATTCCGTGCCCGGAACGGAGAAAACGTGTCCGCTCGTCCCAAGTGCCCGTTCGCTCGCACGCAGGCATGGGCGAACGGGAAAGGAGAGCGCTTCACCCACGCCAACGGCGTCGGGGCGCACGCATGCCGACGGGTGTCCGCATGCCGCCCTCGGTCCGATCGAGCCACGCGAGCATCCGCCGCGGGATCGCGACGTGAAGGTTAAGCGGCGGAGCCGACGAGACGGCATGGGGCTCCGGCCGCCGATCGCGCCGAGGGCAATGTGACAAAAACGAATGCACGCCATGTTGTCAATCTCGTGTCCCCGTGCATCCCGTCCGATCCGCGACACACCGTTCCCCGCGAGCGTGATTTTGGTCCGGGTACGCGCGAATCCTGGGGACGCGCGCGATCCACGACGGCGCCGGCATCACGGCGACCCGGTCGCGCGCGCCTGAACGCGAGCGCGGCACGCCGTTGCGCTGGAAAAAGGCTCTACTTACCTTCTTTCTGCAGTATGCGACATGTTCCACTCGTGAGGGCTCAGCGGAAAGGAAGAACCGCTCTGGCGTCACGACAAGTATTCTCGAGACTGCCGCCCTACGGCGCTGCGCACGGTGCGCCGGAAAACACACCGGCGCGATGATTGGTCTGTTTTTTGTAGCCCGAAACCACTTTAGGTGTGTTTTCTATTTCTGCACCGGGCTGCACTAACTAAACTTTCCATCTCGCCTTCGTCATACCTTCAAATGTGTTTTACTTTAAGTACAACGAACGACGTAGTGCAGCTATAATTCAGAGTGCAGCTATAATTGATCCATTACGAAATGGATCAATTGTACTTAAAATGAAACAGATGTATATTGGAGATTTGACAGAAGCGAGATAGAAAGTGTTTAGTGTAGCCCGGTGCGGGAACAGAAGACAAACCTGATTTCTAAATGAGCGAAACGATTTTGTATTGGCATCGGTATCGGTACATCGATCGGTCCAGGCACATCATGGCGAATCGTAACAAACAAAGCGGTAATTTTCCTGTAATTCTAACAATTTCATAGCTATTCCATTTGCCTATAGTGGCCGCGCATTTCGGAAATGACGTAGCTATGATGGCGACTTTAGCGCTTTGCGTGCTGCGGTAAGATGTATCGCGGCAAATGTAAATGAGACTAAACAAGAACATTTCTACTTCGATGATTTTTTTATAAAGAAAATCGTAAGAATAATTAAGCTTTATAAGTAAGAGGATATGGAAATAACAGCCTACAATTAATTGAAAAATATAATTTCATTTTCTTTTCTAAAATTAATATGCATTTGAAACTATTATTAACTTCGAAAAATATAAATTGATGTTCTTATAAAAAAAAATTTGACTTCACAGATAAATCGGTAAAATTTGTAGAAAAGGATTTTTTTTATCTTGGAACACATTACACATTATACAAAAGTGTACTACATATATTACGCAAAAATTCTATTCTATAGATATACATTATACTTATAGCTATAATGAACAAAATAATCATAATAAAAGCATATTGAAAAAAAAGTAATAAAAGAATATATTTTTCTATGTCTTTCACCTCAAGTCATAATATTTGTCACATCTATAGCATAGTTTTCTTCTCTCTCATCCGCGTTTTATATTAACTTAAAATCATAATTTCACATATGTAAATTCGTACATAAGTTAGGAAATAATTTATCTCATGATCGCGAAATTAAACTTTTACAGAGCTTTCTACTTCTATTTCTACTTCTTTCTATAGAAATATATCTTAAAAATAGATGCCTCTTTAAATAGTTAATTAATCTTCATATCTATATAAAAGCACAACCAAGAATTATGATCAATAGCATAATTGGGAAAATCATATATGTACCCATTCGTGGTTTACAGATAGAAATTAGCATACTAACGTCTTCCGTATCATCTTGCTCTATACCATCTTTAGTTGGTATTTCAATGATTACTCTATCTGCTGATAGCAAATTTAAACGAAATGAGCATTCGGTCTGATTAATGCATGATTTAGTCACATTTTCATATTGAAATGTTGGTTTATATATATCAAAAATGGCGTAAATATCATTAGATACAATATCATTATCACTATAAAAAATGTAATAATAATAACCATCTTGTTGTACATGATGATTTGCTTGTATGTGTTTACCATTGAGCAAATAAGAAATATTAGTACATTGATCTGAAGGCTGAAATTCATGAGCTAACAGTATTGTTCCATTGTAACAATTTAGTAAACCACTTTCAAAACTGGAGATAGACGACGTTTGATCAGAACTAGATGTATAATTTTTATCAGCATTTCCACCGTGCTTAATACCTTGATCTAATAAGGATGGCTTTATGAGTTCTCTACTTCTTTTAAATCTTTTTGTATTCTCATTTTTTTCCTTTGTTTTCTGTTTCTTCTTTTCGTTAACTGTAATAGATGGATACAACATTTGTTTCAATTTTTGTAGACGTTTTCTTTTATAATAGTTGAAATGTCTCTTTTTTTTCTTTGTATTTTTATTGTTATATCTTCTTGCTTTATGATGCTTAACATGCCTTACTTTTTTAGTACTATTTGCACCTTCATGTTGATCACTTGTATGTTTATGAATGTAAGATGCTGCAGCGTCATACAACATCTCTAATTTTTTCACCAATTCTTCATCCATAGCATATGTTTTATTATCTGGATTTATTTCAATAATTTTTTCAATAGGATTTTCAAAGCTGGCATTTAAGCTTGATTTATATATCTCATCAGAGTTGAATATATCGATAGGTTGAATTGTTGTTTTTTTTTCCATAGAATTTTCAAAGCTTGTATTTAAGACTAATTTATGTATCTCATCAGAATTGTACATGTCGATAGGTTGGAATGTAGTTGTTTCCTTAGAATTAATTTCTTGTGCATTTGATTCATATATTATTTTAACTTGTTTGTTTGCTCCTGGTAGGAAAATCCCTTGTATTTGCTTATTAACATTATGTTCTAACAAGCCACAAGTTCGTAAATTTTTCTCTCCTTTTACTACTAATATAGAAGCTCCTTCAAATCTAAAAATAAATATTTTTTTGTTCTTATAAATAAACAAAATTATAAGAGAATTATATCAATAAATCATATTTTTAATTTGCTGCTTAATTAAGTTTTCTTTTTAATTTTCGTTTTTACCTTGAACATACAGAAAGTGCTACACTTGCACCTTTCAATAAATAAAATCCCCAATATTCTAATGTGTCATCTGGTAAATTCATACTCTTTTTAAGTCGTATATGTTTTCGTTTCGATGTTATTTCTGGTCGGTGAGCCATTTGGAAAGCATTGAAAGAGCCATTCATTTGTAAAGTATGATCCTATTAAAAAAGATAACTTTTTAATTATTATATAATCTATTAAATATAATATGCTAAACAATGATAACAATATGTAAAATTAAAAAGTTCGTGTTTTCTTTAATATTATAGCTATGTCATGATCCATACTTTGTATATTTTACACACACACACACACACACATACACACACACACAAAATAAATATATTTATTAATAATGATTAATATACGTTCTAAAAACAATGACATTGATATTATTCTTTTCTTCTTACCGAACAAAATATTGTTGAAATCCCATCATTAATTTCTATAATATCAGATTCTCTCACAGCATATGCAACATCAGCATAAAAAATATGTCGCAGATAAAGAGGAATTATTATAAGTATGATTGGCACAATAATTATCAATATGCAGAAAATTATCAATCTTCTTACACCATGCATTTTTGCAATATCTATTAAATAAAAATTAACAGTATTATTATTAATACCAATTAATTAATACCATTATTAATACTAAAAATTAAGTTGAAATAAACTAATATTATCATATATATATATAATTATATCGTTTTTAAATTTATATTTTTTGAATTATATCCAATCTGTCAAATATCTAAATATTATTAAAGACTAATAATATCAAATATGCTGTAAATAAAAAGGAAGAAAGTATGTCTGTAATATTTAAATAATAAATAATAATTTATTTTTAAATGCTTTCTTATTTCTTACATATTAAAGTTTTAATATTTAATAGCATTAAATTAAATTAACAAATTAGATATTTGAAAAATTAGATAAATGATTCTTGATCATATATAAACACACATGCACATATATATATATATATATAACATTGTAATATAACATATATATATAAACATTGTAGCTGTACACAAATTCCGTATAATTCAAAGCATTCAAATTATTATGACATTATATTTGAGGATAATAATAAATAAAATTATTTATATATAAAAATATCACCTTCCAATATACACTCCAAGTGGTAATAAATAAATAAACTTGTTCGTTTTAGAGGTTATGTCTTTTAATTTATTTAACAAAAAATATTAACTTTATATTTACAAACATCAACATTCGTAACATTTATAATCTCAGCATATACATCGCTTGCAGGTTGCAAATGTGCTTACAAATTACACTCAAAAATGGTGTATGGCTTTCATCTTATTTAATTTCCTTTGCAAACTAAATACTCTTATCTATATCCTTTGTTAGAGTATGTAGAGAATTTCTTTTGCGATACTTATTTTAACCAATACTAATTAGATTCATTTAATAAACGAGGTTAAGCGTTAATAGAATTACAAATGGAAACTGAGTTCTATTGACAGTCTGATAAGAAAAATATATGATTAGGATTCGACCAATGTCGTATCTGATTCGACTGTTATATTGATATGTGAGTGATATTCTTTAAATATCATAGATAACACATTTAAAAGCCGTTATTAAATTGTGACTTTTTTATTAGAGCACGTTTTTTTAATCAATAAAAAGTCAATATCCCTCAACAACTCGAGAAAAGATAATTCATTGTTTAATTTTTTGTTTAATATTAAATATTTCTCTGATAAATTATACAGATTAGAAATCTATAAAGATAAATTAAAATAAAATACCTTTTTTCTTTCTTCTGCCTCTACTCTCGTTTCACCACAAATGCTATTTTTAATATTTTTTAATACATGTGAATTTAATATATTATATATATTTTCATTAATATAACTTTATAATTTGTCTTCGCAAAATAAAAAAATTAATTATAGCTTTTTGACACTCTAATACATTTTTCTTCACACATATTTCTTAATGTTTCTCTGCTTAGTCTGTTAAGGTATATTTCATTTATCTTTTCTTAGGATACTAGGTATATCTCTAGGTATATTTTTCTCCTACCCTTTCTTCTCCTTCTTTCTAACGAATTCTTCAATCTTTTGAAAATCGTCTGAACCAATAATATTTCAGATTATCTAATAACTAAATTTTCAGGTCTTTTTCTATTGTCACTGGAAATGATTCGTTGGAAATAATTTCTTTTCAAATTGCTCTAGAACATTCTCATAGATAAAACGTATCCATTAGTATGCTTAAATTAAAATTATGCTAACTATAATTAATTAATGCAAATAAATTATATATGCAATAAAAATAAATACATATTTTTAAATTCTTAAAATTTATCTAAAATATGTATATCAATCATAGTAATTAATTTAATAATTAATTTTAATATATCCAATATATTAAATAAAATGATAATTAAAGTATTATTATTATACACGTATTATTTAAATAGTAGATATTCTGTAACTTAATTTTTTGCAATAAACCTTAGCATTATATAAATATCTTAAAAAGTAATACTACTTATCGATTTATAATAATTATCTTTAGTAGCCGTATGAAGTTCAGATATATCAATCTGATTTAATGTCGTTTCTCCAAACAATGTATCCTTATAGACCTAAAATATGGAATAAAACATAAACATTATTATTCATTTCTAATTTTCTAATTAGATATATAAATGTAATTTATATAAATCGTATTACTTTTAATATTTCACTCGCGTCATATTTTTCCTTAAATCTCCCTTGATAATCACGTTTAAATGATGTATTCATCAAAGTAACATGCAATTTTATTTTTTCATATTCTTTCTCCATTAAACCTAAAATTAAAAGTTGTATATAAGAGAGATATTAAAATTATTAATATTATAAAAACTTGTATTTTAAAATTTATATAATAAAAATAGAAAATTATTATAATTATTATTTTGATATTTGCATAAAATATTGTGTTCCTCTCAAAGACTTATACTTTACCTATATCAATAAAATATCCAGCAACATTATCAACAAGTGCTTGTAATTTTTCATTAAGTACAATTTGTGCATATAATATTTTAACATCAGAAGGATCATCATTCATACATGAAACTCCTTGTAATTGTATATTTATTGGCCCTGTTTCTTCAATAATAGGACTATAATGTATAATTATTTTCTTTAAAATATTATTTACATAAATTTATATATTTTAATATATAATTATAAAATTTTACAACTAATTATGTATCACATGCTATTTTAAATTACATATTTGATTATCATAAATCAATATTATATCTTACTCTATAATATTTGTTTTACAATTCATGAGAGCGTCGATAGCATTTCCTTTATCATTATCGTCAAATAATTTGAGCATTCCAATAGTAAGATGTAACTTGGCTGGTAATTGAAAAATCGATTCATCAATATTGGATGCAGTTTTGTTATATTTCTCTAATATGTCTTTCTTGAAAGAAATATATTTATCAATTATATTCTTTTTATTTAATGGAATTGACAAGAAGTGTGTATAACGTATCTTTTTCTTTGAAGCTTCTATTAGCAAATCAATTCTATGTCTTGCAGATATTATAGCTTTACGTTCCTGTCCAGTAATAACTATAAAATATATTGAAAAATTAGATATTAGAAATGAGTTAAGTTAATATTACTCTACAATATGATTTTTAATTATTTTTACCAATGTTTCCATCTTTCCCTTTTTTAGGTATATCAATATTTGTTTTTGTCTCATTTTCCAATTTTCTGCGTGTTATACCTTTTGTACCAATTATATGTGAATAAAAAATTCTAAAATGTAATAAAATATTTATTCAAGTATAACTATATTTAATTTACATTTATTTTATATTATTGTAATCTCTACGTTATTAAAGTTTTATTGATATTATAATTGTCCAATATTTAAAAAAAGTTCTTACTTGGGTACGTAAAAGGTATGTTTAAAGCACGAGCCATGAGATACCATCTCTATATCAGGTTCAGATTCTTCATTTAAACAAATTGATTCTTTATCCTCCATGTATGGATCAGATGTATGAATGTTTTTCCATGCAGTACTTTCATAAAATCTATAGCACTGTCCATTAACCCAAATTAATTCTGGTTCCAACACATCCATTATATAATGTGCAATATATTTTACACTAAATACAAATTTACTCCTAAAATTTATATTAAATTACATGCACTTAGTTTTACATATTTGTATAAGTTCTTGAAAAAATCAATTAAAATGACATTTTTAAAAATATAAGTTTTACAAAACATTTCTCGACATATTATATATATCACTTATATAAAAAACAATATCAACAGTTCAAAAATTTATTAATATTATACAAATGTTATACTTAAAAAAATTGAAATAAATTCGCATACAAGTTAATATGCATTTATTTATGTTACATTTTACAAAATTCCATAGTTTAAAAATTTCTTTACATATATCTCAATAATTACTTTTGACTATCATACCATAATCATATTGCAAATTAATTATTACATTAAATAAAAACGTTACTCAATTATATTAATTCTGTGATTTGTGTTAATTCATTTGGAGTTTGGAATATTTCTTTAAGTTAGGTTAGTTAAAAATAATATGTTATTATGTGATAACAAGTCACACAATAAACTGCCTGCATAGTTACTTAAAAATACTATTATTTCGATCACACACTTTTTCAATACATTTAACATTAGGCTACATTAGGCTTGTTCATCCAAGTACAATAAATGCTTCTTTTTTAACGTAAATATTATAGAAAATGCAACTGAGCGCTATTAAAAAAGAGACAAAAATTTGTATCTGTCGTGTAAAGCAAACATAACAATTGAGATTCTCCATCGAAGATCTCAATTGCACACTTGCTTTACACGAATAACACAAATTTTACGTTAAATGAAGAACAATACGAAGGATCTTAAACTTCAACGACAGAGCACTACACTGTCACTGATTAACAAAGCGACTGAGATTCGAACTCGAATCTTTCGTTTACGAATCTGACACTCAGCCTGCACGACCACAATAGCTTCGCTTTTATGACACTCTCCTATCAACTATTTAAGCCTTATGGTTTTTTATATTCCTACAGTATGTACTTTAGTTGATTTTAATTATGGATCAATCATGGATCGATTATGGATCATAGACGCGATCTTTTACGGAACGGAAATACGAGTTTAACTATAAAAAATTATTCAAAGGGATTTACGTAATCACGTAATCATACAAAAGGAGTGTCGGGACTATAAGCCAACTCAGCCTTAAAGTCATCGAAATATAATTAAAAAAAAGTATTAATATATTATATATTTTTTAGAATATCTATTTAATATATATATATATATATT